ACTTAGGAGGCGGAGACAGCTGTCATGATCGGTCACCGGCGATAATCGATAACTGACGTCAAGGAAAAGAACCAATAATCGCACGAAGGCAGGCATAGAACTGGTCCTTCTTTAGGACATCCGTGATTTGGACAGGGTCGTACAAGGCCAAGAAAGATCGTTCGTCTGAACGTTTCTCGTATTCGACGAACAGCAAAGCTCAACGAACGGGGGTACCGTCAAATTGCAATCCGGCTTCGTGGCTAAACTCGTATATATAAATATAAAGTGCAGAATGTGAAATTTAAGCATTTAACAGAATTCCTGTAGGAGACTTTGGGATAGAACATTCAGGGATGCTTAGCTGGCTATACATTATTTAATTTAACCATTGTACGGAAAAATACATAGATACAGTGTGGCTGCCCAAATAATACTAAAAATTTTTATGCTGTCAATATATTCAGGTCGAGATCTAGAAGGAATCCAAAATAACCCTGAACGAGCGATCTCATACAATTGATATGACTAAATATAATCGCCTCCACGTGAATGACAGAAGGCTGTAAAATATGAGTGAACGACACGATGTTGTTTATCCTCTAAATAGAGAATAATAACTGATGCTGATTATTGAAAGTGACTACAAATATAAATGATATAGTTATAGCGCATGAATAATGATTTTTGATATATAGCAAAAGCGTATGAATTTTTCATGAAGCATCATTCCTACTGATCAAGGAATTATCTTAGTCAATAAAACGAAAACAATGCTTCTAGCACCCTAGGAGCTCAATTGTTATGGAACTTACCTTACTACATGGCTTTCTAAGCATCAAGGAGCAGGGGGCATACGAAACGATTCTAAATCTGGTTTGGATGCACTGAAAAAGATGAAAAGTTTATATCATGACGGTAAATCTGTAACTTTCATCCAGGCTTAGCAAATTCAGTGATTAACACAAAGCACTGAGTTTCGAGTTCGGTCGAGTTCAGCAACCGTATCTGTTGTATGCGTTGCAGTGTGACAACGACCTGACGAACAAGCCTCTCAGATGGTTTCGAGGTCAGACAGTGGTCACTTAAGTTTAAAGCAGTAACACTGCAAACGGAAAACGATGAAGTCAGTGGGCGCTGGTGCACTTTGAGATCTATAATTTCGAGATGGAAGAAAACAAGAAAATACACTGGTAGATCTTATTTAATATGCTTTCCGCCAAAATCTGTTCAAAATTTTCTTAGGTCACAAATATGGTCCAAGACTGGCGGGAGGTAATAAAACGCGAAAGGCAGCATTTTGCAGGATTTCGAATTTTTTAAAGATATCAGGGAAAAGTTTAAAATCGTATGTCAGATAATCCCGCAAGAAAATTTCTACCTAGTGTCCAGTAAATACTTGGCTAATGGTATGATTCTAGAACACCGTGAAACAACATTAGAATATTCTGGTTAATTCATCAAGATAATGCGACGTTAGGGAGACAATTCCATCAAGCCGTGCCTCAGGCGAAAATCAAAGATTCAAGAGGCGTCATATTAATTATACAAAGAATTCTGTTTGAACATCTGTCACGCAAAAGTCCGTACAAAACCGTCGAATATGCGGAATTTTGCAGAAAACTTATCAAATCCAAACGTACAATACCTCCACTATGAGTTAGCTATGATAAACAGCTAACTGCCCAGTGACAGCAGTTCTGTGAATCATTGTTCGGAATAAATAAACAGAGGGCACGTTTGATTTCACCTTCCTATTCATTACTGTGAGTGGCATACTATGCGAGTGGCATAATCGGTGAGATTAAAAAATGGGCCGAAAAATGGTACGAATTAGTATACCATACCAAATACTTAGTGTTGGCACAGATATAGCATATCATTGCGCAACTGTAGGAATTGTGCGAAGCAACTGGCATCAACGACACCACAAGTACCACAGGAAGTCCCAAACTAGTCTGTTGCAACCGCAGTGCAGAATAAACGAAAGGTGAATGAAGACCGTCTGTTAGCTAAGACTAGCGGAAGCTTGTATAAAATGATCCTCTCTAAGAGATAGACTGGGAGACAACTAGTCGTCAATGAAGCATGCATGTCGTGAGCAGGAAGAAGCACACGGCCTTAAAAAGTTTTGTTAATTTTTGTTAGGTAGGTGCGGAAAATTTAAAACCAACGCTATGCCACTGCTCTGAACTGAACCATTTCACTATCTAATGAGGTCAAGTTGAGGTTTGGCGTCAGCGAGAAATGCCTTTGCAGACCTATCTCAAACTTGGG